TATTCTACATTTTCGACTTCTTTTTTCGCGTAGAATCACCCCCTTTCCGCTTGTACCACCAGTTACCAACCACCCTGTATAGCGCAGATATTGCGATTGCTATATACGTAAACCGTAAGACGATATTATTAAATTGTACGAAGTTTCAGCACTTAAATAAAATTACTCGATTATCCTTTATTTGTCGTTGTATGGAAAATATCCTCAGGATAAAATTAAGTTCTTTCGAAAGAATCTATTTCTTAGAATCTAATAAAAAAGAATTTTCTAGAATCTAATCTAGAAAAGATTTTCTAGAATCTAATAAAGAATCTAATAAAAAATGATTTTTTCTCTAATCGGTACAGATGTTAGGCGTATTAAGCGTAAGTGGCATCGCGAAAACAGAAATGTTTTTTATCGAATATTTCTATTACGAGAAATTTGACAATTTGATAGAGGAGAACGAGAGAGAAAAATGTTTTCGTCGATCGTTGTTATTTCTACGTGTACGAACGTACACGTAGGCATTCCCGTGTCAGGCTGGAATGTGTCACTAGCACATTCACGGAATTATTGCGGAATTATTGCGGATGATTGTTCTCCGATCGAGCCAATCTCGATGACCCGTTGCTACGGACAAATCAACGACAGAAAAATGTGCACACACACAAAGAGGTATTATGATAAGTCTATCGAAGTATTTCGTATAATCCTGTTTCTCCCTTAAATCATTGTTCTTGAAAAATTCAATATTGTAACTTATTTCTTATCGAAATATTTGTGCGATGTTAAATTTCGCCATTGTTTAATTTTCCGCTTTTCATACAACAAATTACGTTCATCAGGCAAATGAAATGTTTATTTCTACTAATTAAAATAAATGTTGTAGTATGTTATTAAAAACCAATCGATTCAGTGACATTGTTATAAAGAAACATAGAGTGCAGTAATTTTTAGAATGTCACGATGAGGTATATTAATCTTTTAACCTACGATTTACGTTCGAGAATGACCGTAATATTTACATTTGGCCCGATCATCGTACTACGGGCTATGCCCGTAGTTGTAGGTTAAAGGGTTAAGAAGAGTCACTGTAAGTAAATGCCCCGCTGAGGGTAGCCACCCACATGATAATCAAACAGCCAAAAAATTCTATCAAATGTCCAAATTGGACAAATTGTGAATGTAAACAACTAAATAAAAAAAAGCTGTAAATAAAAACAAAAAAATATAGCATTTTGAGGATTCTGATAGTATATTGTTATGATTAGTCGAACATGAATACTTTCAATGTAGGAAACTTTTGATCAGTTTGGTAAATAGAACTTAATATTTTGTTACATGATAAAAGGGGTGCTTTAATGCAAAGCTTCGAATCAATTAAAATTCTGAAACAGTAGGAATAAAGCTGCAACTGTATTAAATTATACATACATGATTTTAAATAAGCACTCCTGTCCATGGATTTTTGGATTTCCTTAAAAAACTTTATTTCGCTTTGAGTCAAGTAATTCTTTGGATTAAAAAGAAAACTATCTTCGCTATACTGTGCAAAATGTCTTGCTGTTTGATATTTTGTTAATAGAAAAAAGTACATGCACAAGGCACTTTACTCCACTTTTTGCGACAGAATGTTTATTAGTAAATATTGTACCGCACATAATATTTAATACATTAAACTTATATCGAATATATCATTAATTCGTAATTTGCTTTATTTTATGTCTTTCGGCCTCAAAATGGAGAGTCGCATTTGTTGCTTGTGCAAATGCAATATATCGCTAATATATTATACCCATTTTTCATATAAATTTGTATATTGAACGTGCGCAAACATCTACAGTTTATTTATAACCACATTCCAGCTTGGCCAATACACAAATTAACATCGGCGCAGTTCATCGTGAATACTCAAAGTCGATATATTAAATTTAATAGCACGTTACTCGTTATGCTAATTCGAAGGATATCGCATTTAGCTTGTCAACTTAATCAGTACCTGCAATTTTTCTAACTTCGATATTAAAAGTCTTCGAAGATAAGAAATAGATATTCACATAAATGCTGAAATACGAATACACAATGCCTATTTTTCTCATAAATCTACGAAGTGGAGTTTGATTGAAAGCGGATTTGTTGGTTTCGTCTGCGCCAACGAACGTATTATTCCACTCGCATAATAGATACATGTTTGTTGTCGCAGCAAACTCGATAGTTGCACGATGCCATAAATTAACCTCCAAGGATTAGAAACGATTATCCCGCAAAATACGAACGCGTTGTCGCATACGGCTTCAGATGGCCAACTATTTCTATTTAAGCCAATTCTATTAAATGACGTACGACACTGACGCGCATCTGTTAATTACACGTATTTTCCATACAACTATCTCTATTCATGCCAATTCTCTTAAACGACATATGATATTGGTTATTCGGTAAATTCTAAACCTTGTCAAGCTCACGTTTTTGCTGATAATGAGAAACAACAGGAATTCCATCACGAATGGAATAATGACACTACCTGAGGTGTAATAAGTTGTTGTCCTTGATGATTACAGCTGCTGGCTGAAGATGTAGAAGTCGCTATAAACTACTGCTTTCTTTCTTCTCATTTACGTGTAATGGAAGAAAAATCGGATTACAGGCGCCGGGATTCGAACCCGGGTCCCGAACGTTCGTAACCTAAGGCGCTAACCACTGCGCTACCGTCGTCCGGTAGTTAATCGTTAAGTTAGTGTCGAGTGGTGGTATTTGCTGTTGAGTGCTGCCACAACGTGTTATCAGTGCAAAGACGTTTATACATAATCGTCGAACGTCTTCGTCAAGACAAATTGCAATTTTTAAAAGAGGAGATCTAAATAAAGAAAGAATATGTAAGAATGTAAAGCGCCGACACATAATATAGCATGGCTACGTTGTACCGTCGCGTATCATTACAAAAATTCACCGTTTATTGTGAATACCAAAATGTATCTAAAATTGTATCTTGGGTTAAATAAACATCATTAAAAAAAAAAAAAAGTGTCGAGTGCCGCCACATATCCAATGACAGAGGATTGTTGTACAGGACGGTGTCTGTTCGCTGAAATTGTATTTTTGAAACGTGTTGGGATAAAGTTTGAGTCTTAAGACTTATCCGGCAATCCCATACTTAACATGGGAGATAAAATGTCATTTAGACGACGACGCAGGAGCAAAGTCACCCTTGTATTCATGTTCCGTTCTCCGAAAGTTTGCCGTCAGTTGTTCCAGGGCTGCAGGTAATTCTTTCAAGCAGCCAAGTCTGGAACAACTTCCATTCTCAAGAAAATTGATAAAACGTCGTC